TTTGAATCAACGTTTATTACACGAATAAACAAGAGGCTGGAAGGGGGGTGGGCAACTCGATAGGTGGAAAGGGTTGCGGCTCAGAGGGTTCTGATGTCAGGGCACTTTTAGGGGATTCGTTTTCATTGCGTCAGCCCGATCCTTGGCTGAAATTATTTCACTTGGAGTTTAGGTAAATGCTTTTATCTTAGAATGTAGCTTTAAAAGTATTGCGTTACAAAATTTATGTTTTTGTTATAATTCTACGACTCGTTCGCAATAGTAGCATTGGTGGCAAATATATTTTTATATATCTTAAAAGTTCTATGCAAAGTAAAATTACTAAATTGCTAATTTTTTTTTTTGTCTCCCCGTGACCATGGCTGCTGCAAAGCATCCGAAACGTCGGGGCAAAGTTAAAAATCATTTTCAAATAAGTTTAACTGATATGTCGCGTTTTAAACCGTTAATGTGTTTTACTTAAATACATTATTTAAAACCCATTTTTTAATAACCTTTTGGCATTCCTATTGTTTCATGAATAAATAAGTAAACACCACATTTATGGTGATCGAATCCACGACCCGTTTATACAATTTTAACATATAATTTTTCTGACATATGACGAACTTCGTCTAGAAATCTGAGTATTAAATGGGTGGTAGGAATATCAAAATTACGTCCGGGTCACGTGCCATTGTCCACAGATAAAAAAGACGTCAAGTTTAGTCACGTTTCGGTGTTTCGTACCAGATATATATATAGAGGTATTTTACCTACCATCAAAAAGAAGCTTGTCTGTCATCCTTTATTTTATAAAAAAAACATATTAATAAGATCGTAGTAAATATTTGTATAATTTAAATTGTTACATTATTTCTTAGTTTAAATTTAACTAAGAAATAAGCTTTAGATTAACAATGAAACTCGAGGTTAATTACAAGGTAACTTAATACTAATTAAATCCTAAAATGTATCTCATTATACCAACAAACGATACATTGACATAAATCACAGCGAAGCAAAACAAATGTTAAACAGAGGTTGTAATTTTTAAGAACGTACCTATATATTTGTGTATGTTTTTTATGTAACTGCAAATTGTCTATGGTATCATATTTTTAATGTCATGCGCCATGTAAACAACAAAAATAAAATGATTTAATCTACAACAAAATTCTTGTATTTCCTTTCTTAGGTACTGTAGCACTGATTTTCAACCGTTTGTTTTCGTGGACTCGTGTAGATTCTTTACGATTGATTCCGTTGAATTTTGTCGTTGCTTTATCCATGATGATTAAAATACGATAATTTAAAAATTTTGCTTATGCAAAGTAAAAACAATAAAACATGTCATTGTATAATCATAATAATAATACCAATCTAATATGTTATGTGCCGGCCCTAAGCTGCACTCTATTAGGCGACCGCCCTAAGCTGCGCCACTGCTGTGCTGATACCCGTGCGATCGGTATGTGTCGCTACTGTTGCCGTACCCATTATAGTATAAGAAATTAATTAGAATTATAGTAAGCGTCGACCTGATGCACAGGGAGACACCTAGTATTATTGAAATGTAGTATTTTATATTAAATAATAATTAAGCAAATGAGTTAAAAAACAAAAACAAGAAACAAGAAAAAGAAAATATTTTTAGCTTTATTCTTTTTTCGAATTATCCTGTTAAACAAAGCAGCATCTGTCTCACTAAAGTGCAATCTATAACGTTGTTCTGGCTTACGTCTTCGTTATGTAATGGCTGCTGTGGCCAACCGTATTACGTTCAATAGACTTTAGCTTCTTTACCGGCATTACCTAATTGAATTTTTTATTTAAGTACCTAAATTAAAATAATACTAAGATTGACAAAATACGACACGGTTGGAACTTGAACCGGCATCCACAGCGTTGCTTTGTTACTTCTACTTCTTGGGTAAGTCACGAGGGAAAAGTTTACAACACCTCAAACGTTTTGCCTTGCATTGCCTTAGAATTCCAGGTTTCCAATCCGAGCAAAACGATAAAAAACTTCGACTCCATAGGGCACAGAAGTCTTATCGACTACGTGCCTGTAAATCAATCAATATTGTAATTAAACTGGACTTTAGCAAAAAAAATCATTTTCCATTTTTTCTGTAACAAGAAATACATTTAATCCGATGAATAAAGGAAAGGTTACCATTTATTATTATTGTTTAAAGCATTATTACAACTTATTAAATTAGAAACAAACTGTACAAAGTATTTTCACATCGACAACAAGGCAGTTATAGATGTTGTATCGCAAATAAGAAAATTAGTCGCATTTGTCATGTTCAAAATGAAAATACTTGTAGTTGTTTGAAAAATGTTTTCATGTAACAAGTTAAACGAGTGCCGCAGTCAACAACAAATTGATTTTTGGATGAAATATTAACGTCTTGTTTTCCTCGAGGCATTTCCTTATTAAAACTTAACTGGAACACAAGAATGTATTACGTATAATGATTTTTCCGAATGTCCAAAGGCCCAAAGAGGTAATTAGCACATCTTCCATAGTGGGTAGATCAAATGACCCCAAATAACCCTCGTTTTATAATAAAAAAACTACAGGTTGATGAATTGATCTTAGTTTTTAGCCTTAACTTCGACTTATTAAACATCATTATTCGATTATTTAGTTAAGCAACTGTGTATAGTTTTACAAATTTTAAATCGGTCTTAAATATTTATAATAGAAAGATCCTCTTGATTAAGATGTGAAACGTGAAATAAATAATCTAAGATAAAAATAAAATATATTTTTTTATTCACACTATCTATTTATGTATGGAACAAACATTATGTTGTTTGAATACTATTTGAACGTCAACATAAAATGGTGGTAAATTTCTTTTTACGATAGTCAATCGGTAATCGCAAAATTTTTCTTACTTTGTTTGAGATGAATTCAAAATTTCAGCTAGGTCACATTTCAAAAGAAGCTACTTACTGTAGATACAAAATACACATCGCGACAAATTCCAAAGCTCACCTTGGCCTCAGGTCTGATCCAACAATGTATACCTACCCATATATATAATCTACAAATATGAAGATCGTAAAAGAATGATCTAGAATTAGATGGTAGGGAAATTATATTTTTTAGAGGAGAACTGCCATGCATGGGATTCGGTTGATCCAAGGTGAAATACCCTAGCCATATTAAATATAAACATGATGCGCTATCGATATGCTAATTATTTTTCTTTGAATAATAAAAAAACCGTGACACTATACGTCTAATTTTAAGATTATTTCATAAAAACCGTTTTTAAACGGTTTTATTTAGCTCGACCCGTACGGAATTTCCCGTTGTCAGATTGATCTGAAATTTGGTACACGCATTTAATTTAGATGACAATACAATAAAATAAAATCAATAACATCTAAGATGGCCGCCGATATAAAATGGCGGATTACATATTTTTCCTTAACCCCTCAATATGGGTATCAAATAAAAGGGCTACAGTAGTAAAACACGATGATTGTGTAAAAATTTAAAAAAAATGTAGTGTTCAGTGCAAAAAAAATAAAACCGTTTAACTTAAAAGTTTTTTTACCAATTTTTATTATGGCAATAAAATTTAGTCGAAATTCTTCTTATTGCAAAAGAACATCACAGCTACTAATCGACTCTCGAGCACGGCATAGAAGATCGATTATCTTGTCTGAAAATAATGCGTTCAGTGAAACGGACACAGAAATGTATTCGCCCATAGGGGGAAAACGGGAATTCGATTCTTTAAACATGAGTAGAGGTCAGTAGGCTGCACCGATAGACATATCTTTACACTTAAATCGCTAAGCTATGTGCTTCATCGCTGAATTTCTACTAGGTCAATAACGTATCCGAGATAGCTTCGGGCGGTTTTATGGGAGTGATCCCCGATATTGCATCCACCGATATTAGTATAGCCTTGATCCGACAACTACCATCTTTTAGCATCATTTTCCAATATCCCGTAATATCGCCGTGCAGGTAACGACTTTTCGATCGGCCAGCGCGCACTTGTTATGGACGATTTGAATATCGAACACAGTTGTTTGTATTATCGCGCAACAAGTATATAATTATGGAGGGTCATTCTTTTCATACCGTTAAATTTTGTTAATTTTTACTATCGCAACAAGTGTTAAAATTTCGTGTCTTTTTTTATTCTATTATCAGGACGCCATATTAAATTTTTAATAAACTTTTATATTTTCCACATGATGGCATTATATAAATTTGACAAATTTAAATAAATAGCCCATGTTATCTTTGCCATTCCTTTAAAACATATTTAAGCACATTACATTCGACTGAGTATTTAAGGTGCTAAATGGAACATTCGTGATATATGTTATATAGACTGACAAATATTCTTCGTGTTGGCTTCTTGCATCGTCGGGTATAAATACTAAAAAAATAATATCTCTAGCATACATATTTTGTACTAACAAAACATGTAAGTCAATTATCAACTCTATTAGTCATGTATTGATTCGATAACTTTATCCTTCCTCTCTATTATTTATAAGCGTCAATCTATATTATTAGGAATTTACATACGTAGTATTAAATGAAACACTGTTAATAGCCTTACATGTGAAATAACTAATTTACAATTTATTTTAACTATGACTCACCGTTTTGCAGCAGTCGTGGTCACGGGGATACTGTACATTAATTACATATTACGTGTTTTAAGCCGTTAAAAATGTTTCATTTAAGGTTAGTTCTCATATAGGTTGGTAACTTTTGCGGCTTTTTTCAAAGCTATTTACGTTATCTAACTGTTCGGTGATCGTAATTGAACTACAGAATCATTTTTAATAACGACAGACGAACAGCCGGACGACCTAAGTGACCTTCAAACCCAAATCAAAAAAAACTAAACCGCAAAAGTAACAAGATAGACTTTTTTCAAGTAAAACGTCACGCTGACTGATAACTGAATTGTTTGTCAAACGACGTCTCCTGAGTTTTTATACCAGATTTTAGAAGATATCATTATAAAATGTTAAACAAATATAAAATTGTGAAAGATGTAAGTGCAAAGAGCGGTTGTGCCTTTTATAAACTTCATAAATTGTGGCTTATTTTAATTTCGTAGATTCCGCGAATGCTGAGGAACTTTTCTTGCTCGAAACATCTAAGGAGTGAAGAGCTCTTTGTCCATCGTGACAGCAAGGATAATAATCCTTCGACGCCATTCGAGTTCACGGAAGCCAATATGACGGTATGTTTATTGATATAATAAGTTTTGAATCGCTAGTTGATATAAAAGTTAAATCCAGTTTCCCCCTCGTGGAGCATGGCAACATGGTTTAAAACGCGATATATTAGTTAAACTTATTTGTAAATGATTTTTCGTACGTTGGCCTCCCCGTGACCACGGTTGCTGCAAAGCATCCGAAACATCGGGCCAAAGTTAAAAATCATTTCCAAATAAGTTTAACTAATATATCGCGTTTTAAACCGTTAAAGTATTTTATTTAAAATAATATTTCTCTATTAAATAATTATAACTACTTACTGATCTTTCAATGACATTTTTTACGAACGTCGATAAAACTTTACGTAACCAGTGAAAGAAGGATTATTCTTTTCTTTTAATTATTATGGAGTTGTCGACAACAACGTTTTGTGTTACTCTACTAATTACTATTACTGAGCTTCTTGGTCTCATGGATTTCGTTCACTCCTTTCAAACATCTACACAATGTAGATTAACCGGTTTATGTTATAGATTTAAATCTCGCTTCTGTTTTTATTATTCATTGGTCTCCCTTGATAGAAAGTGTAATATCCCAAGAATAACAAATGCGTTGTCGACTTATATTTGGCTTCTTGGAAATCCATTGATCGAGAATTGCTTTACGCTTAATAACTCTATTTCATCATAGGCTTAAATTAATTCGCCTTGACGGAAATGGGCATTGGTTTCATCATAGGCTTAAATTAATTCGCCTTGACGGAAATGGGCATTGGTGCTGGGAGTTTTGTTGGCGTACGAACGTGTTACCAGAGTTCCCTCAAAGCACCGTAGAGTGGTGGTGTGTTTAGGGGTTCTGGTCGGCTATACGATTTACCACACTCCCCACGTCACACATCAGATAAAAAAGGCTTCAATTAATGGAACATGGAATATTCCAACTATATAACTTTACTAGCTTCACTTTTCCTAAAAGGAATAATGCTCTCATGTGAAAATATAGTCTTTTAATATGGGAGAAGTAAAAAAAGATTTGATGACTGATTTGTTCATATAAACAGAGACTTTGTGCTATCATCCAAAACTACCCAGAGGGGTGCCAGCGTTCAGCGCTCTCTGCAGCCCTGGACATAGTTCAGAGGCAAATAGGGTGGATCCCAATATCTGCCATGCACAAGGTTGCCGAAATACTGTCTATGCCTCGCATGAGAGTGTATGAATGGGCGACATTTTACACAATGAATAAAAGGTAATTAGAATATCTAATGAACGCATGAGATTTCTTTCTCTTTGTTTCATTTATCTATTATAAGTATTATTTCTAAGTAATGAGAGATGTGTAAAAGTAAGAAGAGATGTGTAACTGTAAGAAATGAAAAAGAGAAACTATATACCAGCTGTGGCCGTAACTTCGTCCGCGTAGTATAGTTATTTGGGGCATCAATATTTGTTTTAAATACTGTCTATAGTTTACGCAAGTAGAACACATATAAATAAAACAGTTTAACGGTTTAAAACGCGATATATTAGTTACTAACTAATATATCTCGCGTTTGACATCATTAAAGTTTTTTATTTAAATATTTATTTTTAAAAATCACCATTTTTATAAATTTTAGCTCTTACCCACGACTTCGTCCATGTCCCGTCGTTCTTGTAAGTTGATCTTAATAGATATAGACAGTTAGAAATCCTTCAGTCATACACATTTTTAGGTATCTTAGATCGCAGCGCACGCTACGGAAACCTATAAACATTCATAATTTTCCCCATTTTCCCCATTTTCCCACATTTCCCTATTTTTTCGCTCCTATTGATTGCACCGCGGTGTTATATAGCCTTAAGCCTTCCTCCATTAATGCTCTAAATAAAACAAAAAAAAACAATTTCGAATCAGTAGTTTCTGAGATTAGCGCGTTCAAACAAACAAACTCTCCAGATTTATAACATTAAAATATATGCGACTAATGCTAAACCAAGCTAATTATAAACTTAGTGAAACTGCCTGAAAACTGTAATTCAAAACAAAATAGACTATGATTATGTATTTTTTAAAATTTTATACATTTTAGACGCTTCAGAGGAAAGTTCAACGTGAAAGTATGCGTGACTACACCCTGCATGCTTCGCGGTTCGGACATAATCCTTCAAGCTGTGGAAGAGGCGACCTGCTGCTGTGCTGGTAGCTTATCAGCAGATGGCATGTTCGGGGTAGACACGGTGCAGTGTCAGGGCGCATGCGCAAACGCCCCGGTGATAGCTGTTGATGATGATTACTATGTAAGTGAGCCTGGATGCGCCAATCTAAATCGAATCTAGGAGATTATCCCGGCCTATCCATGATTGGGTTACCCATAATGGGTGTTCGAATTCCGTTCTAAGTTTAAACAATGCAAATACTGTCTGTAGTTTACGCGAGTAGTACATATTTAAATACAAAACTTTAACGGTTTAAAACGCGAAATATCTAGTAGTTAAACTTATTTGAAAATTATTCTAACTACGGCCCGACACTGCTCTGCAGCAGCGGTCGTCACGGGGAGACTAAAGATTTAGGGTGTTACTGCTAAGCTGTTCCGTCGTAGTTGCTATTTAGCAAAACTGGCCGGGTCCTTGCAGAATTGCCTAACGGTGGGCTGCAGTTAAATTATTTTTAAATAAGTTTAACTAATTTATTTCGCGTCTTGTAGGTAACGCTGATTGGTGGAAAACCGTCACGGCTCGTTGAGTTATCTTATACAAATATATTTATTACGTACTTTAAATAATGAAAACATTTGGTGAACGTAATAAAAACATTTTACATTTAACACTGTTCCGTCCGTGCCCGTCTATTTGTGGTAATCTTTTCAGGAGGATGTGAACGTTTGCGATGTGTATAATATTATTCAAACACTGAAATGTGGCGGTATCCCACCCTGGGGCCCACAGTAAGTATTCTATAGACAACTAAGCATACTATTTACACGGCACTAACAAGTATAATACGGAGGTAGTTGTCTATTTTGCTATTATTATGGAGATATGGCGGTCATAAATGGTATTAAACATTTTGCTTAAAAAAAACGATTTGAGATGAAAAAAAAATTACGTAGTGCCATTTTTTTTATCTTAAATCGATTTTTAACTTATATAGAGCCCGCCATGTGTAATAAAATCTGGGAATATTAAAGTTTGCAAACGCAAGTAAAAAAAAAAATGGGTAGACATAGAAGGATTTCGGTAGAGGAATCTTGATTTGCTACTAAGTCGGCGATAATCTTATTTCTGTTAACGCACACATAGGTATGAAATTTCGTATCTATTTTATTACTTATATAAATTTCATAGAAGACAGACAAGCATGTACACTTGATGGAAGGTGAGGTACCCCCGCCATACAACATTTGAAGTAGAACATTTGAACTTTTTGGCGTTGGAAAATTCGAAAATGCACACATGAAATTGATAGTTCACGACTTTTTACACAGTGAATGGTGTTCCGTGACCCGGACGTACCATTTATTATCCAGATTTTAAGACGAGGTCTGTCCATTCAGTCCAGAAAAATTGATTAATTTTTTTTTGAAAACAGCGGGGTTCGAATCCACAACCCGTTGATTATAAGTCATATATTGCTACCATTAAACCAACGAGCCCTTCAAACATACAAAATAAATGATATATTGCAATATTTTTAATATAACTTAGTCGCTTCTTTCTTGATGGATTATTTTGTTTTTGATGTTTATCAGAAACGGAAGATTTGCTGCCGAACCAATAACAGGACAGACTTCTTTGTGTGAATGCCCACCGCCTCCAGGATTTGGGATTCAACCAGATTTACTCCAGGCTTCTACACCTAAACCTGGCAAATGATTAATTCATTATTTTAATAAAATTACTTACATACAGTTCATTAGAATTTCATTGGGTAACCAATATCGCCATTTTTTTTTTTAGTCATTTTAAAAGAACTGATTGTTACAATAATATATAATCATAAATATTCTATTGCAACGATACAACAATAGGTACTTACATACATAACGATACAACAATACACTTAGCTTTAAAAAGTCACTATGACCGCCTCCAATTATCAAAAATCTGGAATCCCCGCTAGCGTAGCAATTTCTACTTTAACGTCAGAGACATCCTCCATCTTTAGTCTCCCCGTGACCACGGCTGCTGCAAAGCATCCGAAACGTCGAGCTGAAATTAAAAATCATTTTCAAATAAGTTCAACTAATATATATTATATTGCGTTTTAAACCGTTAAAGTGTTTTATTTAAATGTATACTACTCGCATAAACTGCAGACAGAAAAGATACACACATTAAAGAACCTATAAGCCTGTTGGATATTTATCGAGAAACGAGTTAAGTAGATATTGTTAGGTATAACATTTTGCTGCGCCTAATAGGACTGAAGGAGAGTGGTAAATGTGGAATGACGAGGAAAATTATTCACCTTTGAGGGCTTTTGTTTCGTTGCGGGCTCTATTGTAATCAAATTTGGTCGAAATGAATAATTTGATAGAATTAAACATAATAATAATCGTGCTATAGTATAATATAGTTAGGGATAAAAGAAAAGAATACCTACAATAGGAGTTTCAGGAAATGGTAACAAAAAATGGGGTCGTTTATTTGAATATTAATAGTCAGGCGAGTGCGATTGTTCCCTTGTGTGGAATTTTCGTCTTCCCGTCATGAATTTGGGCAATTAGGACACTACGTGGCTCGGTTTCTTATTCATTTGAGGGCTTCCGCGATAATGCTGTGTAATTTCATTTCATTAAACAGTCGGATTTTACCTGCTCTCCATTTTCACTTGGCGCTTGGATCCAGAATTTTGTAGTAGGAAATTTTCAGTTCAGTCAGCGTTTTACAGTAAATTCTTGAATAAACCTCTTATTAACGGCCTTATATACACACTATATTGTGTTCTTATTAATATTCGTATCTCAAAAGCTTTAAAATAGAGTTCAAGAATTTGTTTACGCGCTAACCTCGATAACTTTAGATTTGAATTGAAAAACTACTTTGAGTTAGATAGGCCATTTAATAAGAAGGGTTTAGGCTACATAACGCTTACAATAGCAGTGCTGCTTCACAGTAAGAAATGGAGAAAACGGGGAAATTTAATCGTGTTGCCACCATTGCCTTTTCCAGCCCTAGATTTTAACACAATCTGGATTCGATAGTGTTTCAATGTAGTTGGGCAACTTAACTGCATCAACATGGCAATTAATTTTAATTAATACAAACGTGATTGTTTAATCGCGTTTGTCATAAATCTGGTCATAGACGTTTAAGCTATCAAATCAAACGCATCAATTCGGAAACTAATCTAACAGATAACAAAGCCACATTAAACTTAATGTGCATTGTAGGCTACAAAATGTTGATTAGTTTCGGCGAAATAAATTGACAAATATTGTGTTGTGTTTTTTATTTAAAAGCCACAGATTAAAAACTCTGCTATTTTTCACATGTTATTGAAACACATACATACGTTAGAGCAACAGCACGGAACGCCGATGATGCCGCTTCAAGTCCTGCCCGAGTCAATTTTTTTTTTTAATTTTTTACTCGGACAGGACTTGAAGCGAAGTGAAAAGCTTGTTCGTTTAACAAATAAAGGGTTTTCTAAGTAAAAATCACTACACTTTTATAAAAACCAAGATATAGATTATATTGCTTGTATTTAAGTGAAATCCTGTAGTCCCCCCCCCTCTCCTGGAGATGCGAACAAATTTTCTGTGTCCGTTTCATTGATCGATTAAATTGACATTTGACCGAACTCATTCTTGTACCAATCCATTGTTTCCACTGGATTCGAACCCAGTACCTCTCGCATGGAACGCAAGGGTACGCTTTAACCATTTAGCTACAAATACGATAATAAAGACAAGTATTTCATAAGAGATTCAAGTTTTATCGTGTTTTAATTAAATAGTAGTATTTATAAAACAAACGACCTAAAAGGTCGAAATAACGTCGTAATTACGTGTACCGTGATACATCGGGTATCAGTAGTGGATCAAGTGGGGTCAAAAGCAGTAAATCTTGTCCCGCTCGTCTCAGATCGCCCGCCCCCGGGACCGGGACGCTCCGTAATTAAGTAGTTCCCGGCAATCAGAGCCGATATTATCCTCGCCGCAAACTTTAATTACAGGTGAGACTGTCTGTTACTGCGGACAATGAGAGTTGTTTGCCGATCGCTAAAATTTCACTTCACGTAAGTAAGATTTCACTAATAGAAATATTGTCTAGTTTACGCGAGTAGTACACATTTGAACAAAACACTTTAACGAGTTCCCCCGTGACCACGGCTGCTGCAAAGTTAAAAATCATTTTCAAATAAGTTTAACTACTTAATATATCGCGTTTTAAACCTTTAAGTGTTTTATTTCAATTTTACTAATAGATTCGTTATGTGAATTGCGTACATTTAGAAACAATGCACAGGTGTGTCTGTTACATGTTTTGAGACGTAATTGTCCGAAACTACGGTGTTTGATTAAGTTTTAAGCATTTAACGCTATGCCACCCTTAGCTTAAAAGTTCATGCTGTTGTAATAATTAAAGTAAGTTTTATATTTTACATCTATACTATCATAAGAAGCTAAAGAGATTTTTTTGTCCGTGTACGCGCTAATCTCAAGTACTGGCTCGAATTGAAATATTATTTCTATGTTCGTTAGAGCATTTACCGAGGAAGGTTTTAGGCTCCATAAAATCAGGCTGCGATAAGAGTGAATAAACAGTGGGAAATGTTAGAGAGAGGAGAAATATTCATCTTTGAGAATTTCTGTTACGTGCGCTGTGAAAGCGGTTTAAGATACCCAAAAAAAAAATGAAATAATGATTCCTCTTTAAATGATCTCAAAAAGATGTCCGACATTATATCTATACAATCTTTTAAGATTAACTGGCAAGAACGACAAGACGCGAACGACGTCGTGAACAGCAGTTATAAGTATAGTTATAAAAATCATTTTCAAATAAGTTTAACTAATATATCGCGTTTTAAACCGTTAAAGTGTTTTATTTAAATGTGTACTACTCGCGTAAACTATAGACAGTATTTAGCTGTTATAATGTATAAAAATGAATGAGGAGGTTTATAAAAACAAATTTTGGTGAATTGAAAACGATTAAGAAAGAAAAAGTTTACAACACGTTCAGGACTTGAACTGGCATCCCCAGCGTTGCTGCTGTGCTGTTGTTGTAACCAAGATACCGTGTCAATGAATTTAAATTATTTCAGTCCGTATTTTTTATAATTTTTAATTTATATGGTGACATTATGTGCATTAACATGAGAAAAAATTAAAGCTTTAAAAAATTTTGATACCCAAAATAACTATTATTTGCGGACGAATTCGCTGGCACAGCTAGTTACAATTCTCAAAAACCAAAAACATTAAACAAGCGATTTTCTTGTCATAATTATTTCTTAGAGTATAGAAGATATTGTAAGCTCTCGTAAAATTTAAAAGGCTGTTGTTTCACAACATTTGCACAAGGAGTGAATAAACGTCCAAATGTTTGAAGCAACGAGATAATTCGGCGGTTAATGGCTGCGCCGGACCTCGCCACTCGTTATTGCCTCAGGAAACTGGCTTGCTTCACTGTCTAAATAAGACATTTTAACGTTTTCCCACACGGGGTTCTGTCACACAAATTTATGTGTATTTAAATAAAACAGTAACGGTTTAAAACGTGATATATATTAGTCAAACTTATTAGAAAGTCTCACTGTGACCACGGCTGCTACAAGGCATCCGAAATATCGGGGGGAGTTATTTTCAAAAAAGTTAGACTTATATATATCGCGTTTTAAACCGTTAAAGGATTTTATTTAAATGTGTGCCTACTGCTGGCGTAAACTACAGGCAGTGTTTAAATGTATGTGTCATGTTTACAAAGGTTTAAGGCTTTTAGTCTATAAAAAGATACATTTTCAGTTAAATTATATTCTACTACGTCATCCTCCCATTTTTTCAACCTGCACTTCTCGCGCAATGTAATTTTAACCTTAACACTTACGTATGAAGGTTCAATGTCTTATAATATGCAGCTTAACTAAATCATTGAAGATGAATTTACGAAGTTTGCAAGCTTTTTAAATAACACGTGAAAAATATTAAAGTTTTCAATGGATCATCTCTCCATGAAAGTCTCATTAATAAATCACTATCGTTATTTAACGCGTATTAAAGTTCAATGCCGATAATGGAAAATAACAATTCACGTGCAATTAAGTGTGTGGTTTTGTAGCAATAAAATCAGAAACAATTCGTGTTTACACAACTGAATCCGATTATAACGCAAACAGATCGATAACGCATTCATTTACAAGTGTATATAAATGAGGTTTTAAATACAATCTGTAGTTTACGCGAGTAGTACACATTAAAGAAAATTCTTTAACGGTTTAAAACGCGATATATATTAGGTATGCTCATTTGAAAATTATTTTAACTACGGCCTGACGTTTCGGATGCAGCGTTTTAAACCGTTAAAAGTAATAGTAATAGGCTTTTCTGTGTTTCGTAGTCAAAAATTAGTAGGTACCTAAGGTTTTTTTTTGTGAAAACTTCAGAAAACTAGTCCACCGCATGTCGTGCGCACTTGTTTCCGCCTAAATTATTGCCTTTGCAGACGCGCCGCCGCCGAACTTGCTGTTTTTGTTTCCAAGATTAACGATGAACAACGACCCCTGAAAAAAACGTCACAGAAAACGGCTGTTCCCTAAAACTTTCACGCGTAAATCTTTCCGATTTTGTGACGTCTATGTAAATCGTGATTTTGAAGAAAAATTGCGTTTTATACGCACGAGTATGTTAATAACAAAATATGTCATG